CCACCTTAGGTGTACGTGGCTGGCGCCTTAGCCGGTTGAGCTATAGGCGCCGAGCCTCGGCTATTTTTTTGTTGCAGTTTGGCCCGGGGCTAGGTTTGAACCCGCCACCCTCGGCATATGGGGCCAGCGCCCTACTCACTGAGCCACAGGTGCTGCCCCCAGCCACAGTTTTAACCTCTACTTCTCCTACCCTCTAAGACAGGCACCCCACCCCGACTTACTGTATATGGGGGCCCACTATGTGCTGGGCGCTGTGCTGGGGATTTTACACACGTATCTAGCTTCCTTGTGATTGCCCTGAAGGAAATAATCAATGTCCCATGTTAGTAATATGGACCACGGAGCTCGGAAGGCCGAGGCCATTCAGTAGGGAGCCGCATAGGCGAGATCTGAACCCAGGACCCCTTCCCGTCACAGCTGCTCACAGCACAGTGAGGAAGCTAGTCACGTCCCTCAGGGCTATGCTGTGGGGCATAAAGGCTGGATGTGTCAAGGTGATAGGGCAAGGGAGGCTTCATTCCCAGGAAAAGAGGATGTTTGAGCTTTGCAGGATTCCTAGGCTTTTCCAAGGTCAAGCGGGCAGAGGGGCATTCAGGTGGTGGTTACAGCAAGTGAGGGCCGGGAGGCTGGGAGGAGTGGCACACACTTGCGGAGCAGTGAGGGGCCCATGTGGGCTGAAGTGTGGGTGTGGGGAGGAAGCAGCAAGTCCTAACTTGGACAGGCCAGTGGCTGTAGTGGAGAGCCTGGACTTGGGGGTGAAGCTGGGTGCTGGGGGTGGGTGACATGTGGGCACCCTGCTAATCCACTTTCCAAGGGATGGTGGTCCCAGGGGTCTTTCCCTCAGGTGCCTCAGCATGAAGAGGGGGACTGATGGTTCTTATGTTCCCTCCCCTGCCCCATAGAACTACTATCCCGGCCCTGGGAATTACGGGGAGAAGGGCAACCCCTACACGAAGCTGGAGGAGAATGCCTGGAACCGGTCCCATTCCGAGGGCCTCATGTGCAGGATGACCAACAAGCCAATCTCCGTGACTCGTGAGGTATCCCCTTCACATGGCCAGGTCTTGCCTGCCTCCCCGTCCTGAGGGGGACTCCTGGGGGCAGACAGGGACAGCAAGACCCGACTGGGCAATGAGCCTGTGTCAGGAGCTGTCCTGCAGGCCTCATCGCCTCTGCTGTGCTACAGGGGAGTGGCCTGGGACCCGGCACCTATTTCTTCAAAAGTGGCATCGAGACATACCTGGCACGATCCATGGGCACCCGTGGTCCCTATGATACTTTCTCCGGTGACCGAGGCAAGCCCCTGCCTTATGGACATTACTCCATGCAGGTGTGTACCTCCTAGGTTGGGGGGTCATTTCCCAGTGGGATGACGGGCCTCACAAGTTAACACCAGGGACACCATCCTCTGAGCCACACGGGGCCCTTCCCACATGCCACTCACTTCACCCTCACAGTGAGGGCAGGGTGCCGCTCCCTGTGAGGCACTGAGGCCGGCCACCCAGCTGGTAAGGGGCAGAGACAGGATTTGAACCCCAGAAGACCCATTTGACTTCACAGTCAGTTCCCTCTCCTCTGAACTACACAAGAGGTGTGAGTGGCCCACAGCGTCAGGGCTGGCAGGACACGAGCCACAAGGCCTGCAGGGACTCGAGAGCACAGGGTCAGGTGTTCCGCTCTTTGGGAAACACTTCCTGGGCATCGTAGACCCGGCTCAGCCAACCGGGTCTCTGTTAATGAGGCAGAGAACTGGAGGGCCAGGAGGGGAAACCGAGGTAGACTTTTGGCTTGATGCCTCATTTTCTGCTCCCCCCCCCCCAAGTACCTGCTGTGTGCTTTCATAGCACTCTGGGCTTAGTTTCTTCTTGCTATAGCAACTGGAATCGAGTCTTAACAGTCTAATTACCTACTTATTTATCTACACTGTGCGTTCTCTCAGGGTGTACACTTAGGCCAGGGAGTCGTCTAGGTGAAGGGAAAATCCTCTGTGGAACTTATATTCTAATGGGAAAACAACAACAAAAAACCACAATCACCAGCGAGTAATAAAAAGAAAAAAAATCCAAGACAGAGCCTCAGCAGGTGCTGAGGACGTGGCCTAGGCAGCAGGAGGCCTAGGAGGGAGGTGGTCAGCGTGGAAAGACTTTGGGAGCTGTTGGTAGATCAGCCGCTAAACTGAGCCCTGCGCCTGGCTGCCCCCCAGCACCGCCTAGACCTCCTCAGATCCTGCCCAGAACAGCAGGAACCTCGGGCCCCTCTGCAGGTGCTCTGCAGACTGTCTTTGTGTTTGTTTTCACAGGGTTTTTAAAAGAGCAGTTTCAGGTTCACAAGAAAACTGAGTGGAAAACACAGAGGGTTCTCACCTCCCCCACCACACTCAGCCTCCTCCTCTCTCAGTGTCCCCCCATCAGACTGAGAGGTTTGTTCTAGTTAATGAACCTACATGGACATGCCATGATCAATCAAAGTCCACAGTTTAACTCGGGGTCGCTCTGGGTGGTGCGTTCTGCACGTGTGTGTGACACACACCCACTGCTTCAGCATCACACAGAATGGTTTCCCTGCCCCCTCTCCCCATCCCCTTCTTCAGTCACACTTGCTGGTTTGTAAATGTTTGAATTATTGGCTCGGCGCCTGTGGCTCAAGTGGCTAAGGCGCCAGCCACATACACCTAAGGTGGTGGGTTCAAATCCAGCCCGGGCCCGCCAAACAACAATGATGGCTGCAACCAAAAAATAGCTGGGCATTGTGGCAGGCGCGTGTGGTCCCAGCTATTTGGGAGGCTGAGGCAGGAGATTCGCTTGAGCCCAGGAGTTGGAGGTGGCTGTGAGCTAGAAGCCAACGCAACCCAACCCAGGGTGACAGCTTGAGGCTCTGTATCAAAAAAAAAAAGAATTGAATTATTGCTCCTGCTTAGAACAACCCTGACTTGATAAGTGTCCCACAAGTGACTGAAACAAAGAAGGAACTGATGAGGACAAGCTGGGTGCAGGGGTGGCACATGGCCGGTGCTTGCTGCTGGGGGAGGCTGTCTGCTCCCATTGTCTGGGTCAGGCCCCCGGTAGGGTCTGCCTGGGACACCCGCCCAGCAGGGTGGTGGGTGACACCTCCTCCTGGCATTTGCTTCTCACTGGTGTGGGTGAGGGTGGATAAAGGGGGCTCTTGATTGTGCTGGCATAACAGATCTCTTTCTTTCCATTTCTCAGAAAAAAAAGCCCAGGGAACTGATGAATTTCAAGAGCTTCACAGATGAACTTAACTCACGTTACAATAAGAAGCGTGGGGTTTTTTCAAAAGTTCCCCGAAACCCAAAGACCCCTACAGAGAGGATTTACTGGTCTACCCTCAGCCAATGCCCCCGAACACTGGTCAGTGTGCCCCCAAGGCTGTCTTTCCTCTGTCCTGCTGGGCAGGGGGTGGGGGGGTGGGCAATGGCTATTTTGAAAAGCTCAGTCTTAGGGATCTGACTGACCTGGTTTCTGTCCTGGCCTTGCACTTACCAGTCACTTTGGGTGAGACCCCACTGCTCAGGCCTTGGCATATACCCCTGTGCTGTGAGGACAGTGAGATGGCTGTGAGAATTAGGAGAGGTTATAGACTTAGAGCCTCTCCCGGGACGTGTCCAGCCGCTGTCCGTCTCCATACTGGCCCTCAGGGTGCTGGGGGAAAGGGCAAGGGGACACTGGGCAGAGGATGGACCAGGTCTCTACCCTTCGGGGGGGGGGGTACTGCCTGCTTCCTCCATCCAAGGGAGCAGAGAGCTCAACCTTGGTGTCTGGGCAGATGGTAGACGTGGGGGTTGGGGGTGGGGCAGAGGGAACAGCCAGTGTTCTGAGAAGGCCCTGGACTTTAGTCAGGCCTCCAAGCAAAGCCTGTCCCTAAGGGCATGGGAGGGAGGGGGATCAGGAAAGAAAAAAGGGCACCAACATTTTCTGAGTGCAGCCCCCTTAGGGAGGGATTATCATTTGCATTTCACAAAACTGAGCCCAGGATTTGGGAAGATTTTGCCTCACCAAGCCAGAAAGGGGGAGAAGGGGCTGGGATTGAAACCTAGCTCCTCTGGCTGCAAGGCCTGTGTGGGTTCCACTCCCTAGACTGGGATCTGGACTCTCTCTAGGCCCCGCCGTGAGGGCGCTTGAGTGAGACCCTATCACTCCCCGGGCCTTGGTGTACAGCCCTGTGCTGTGAGGACAGTGAGGTGCTTGTGAGAATTAGGTGAGGTCGTGTACTTAGAGTTCCTAACCCTGTGAGGAACCTGAAAGAGGTGTCAGTCTGAGGGGTGGCAGCTGGAGTCGGGCAGGGGGCACGCACATCTCCTTTACTGGGAGGTAGTCAGGCAGCTCCCATCATCCTTGGCTCAAGGCCCAGGGTTGCTGGGTAGGTGAGGTCAGCTGCCAGGAGCCCTCACTTGCCCTGGCCTCAGGCCATCCACTGCCAGGGACTCTCTAGCTTCCAGCCTTCATTCCTCACCCTTAGGCCACAGCTGGCCCTGGCAACTGGCTTCCACCAGAGAAACCGAAACACACCAACCAACCACCATTCCTGCTGTCCTCCAAGCGGTCCAGCCCACAGACCGGCCACACTGTTATGGGAAGCTGGGTGAGTGGGTCTGAAATGCAGGATACCTGGGCAGGGGACACTCTGCTGCCTCTACAGGCAGCCCCAAGCCCTCCTTGTCCCTGGGAACAGATGCTCTGTCTGAGCAGGAGGCTATGCCTCCTTTTCCCCTCAAAAAAGACCTGACACCCATTTCTGTTGTCTCAGTTTTCAAAGGCCTTGGTTCTCAAACTCAAGTGAGCAGGTGTTAGCGTCACTGCAGGGCTGTTAAAATGCAGATCCCTGCCTCCCCCCCCCCAGCTTCTGATACAGTAGGCCTGGGGTGGAACCTGAGAATCTGCATTTCTAACAAGTTCCCGGGACCACACTTTGAGAAGCAGTGAGCTAAGAGACATCCCTCCATTCCCTCCTGTGTTAGCCTTGGGGCCTCATTTCTCATCCCTGGCTGAACAAGGCCCCTTCTGGCCCCTTCCCTCTCCAGCTCTCTTCCCCCTTCTCAAAAGCAGCCATCCCTGCATGGGAGATACGCCCTTTATTTTTTTGGTGTTCTGTATAACAGCGAGGCTCCTGGGTTTGAGTGTATGCCTCCTGCATTGACCCATGGGCCCTGGGTATTGACCTCACTCCGTTCCTTACTCCTCCCTTGCTGTTTACAAGTGCACCTTTTATTAGGGTCTAATAATCATACAGAACATTACCTGAATCCTAAACGCATAGCTCCATAAATTGTTGCAAAACGGCCTCAGCTGTGTAATCACCTCCTTGTGCGTTCAAGAGCTTTTGTTTCCTGCACTCAGGGTCTCCCATCAGTAGCCTCTGGCCTGAGGCCCAGAAGCACAGGTCCGTTTTGCCTGGTTTTGAGGTCTCTCCTGGTTTCCCCAGGAGCCTCTCGCTTGTAATCTACCTGTCCTGCTGGTTCCCTCTGCCCATCCTGCACCCCCACACCTGAGCTCTTCCTCCTCCCAGGGGACTGTGCCAGCCTCCCCACGTTCTTGGCTCCCCAAGTGATGGCAGGGGCCTCAGTGTGCCCAGCCCCCCACTCAGTGTGCCCAGCCCCCTAGGGGAGATGGTCTTCACTCGGGGATCCCAAGTGAAATGTTCAGGCTAGAGCCGAGTGACCATGCTGCAACTATAGGCTGGCCACCCCAACATGGGCCACCCCACCATGGGATGGGCCGACATGCGGCGGGGTTCTCCCAGGCCAGGAAGCCCCCTGCACACACCCTCCAGCCTGGGAATCTGCTTCCCAGGGGAACAGACTCTCCTTTGTGGGAGGCAAGTTCTGCTTCACATGGGGTTAGTCTTCAGGTGCTAACATCATCTCCCCAGCCCGCCACTTGGCACCATTCCTCTCTCTGCAGATAGCTGGGTTCCCTTCCTGCCTTTCTTCCTCTCTCTCTGTGTCAGCTAGGGCAGATTGCATCTTCTTTCTGAGTCTCTCTGTTGGCACCTCTTGTATTATCCCAAACCCAGATACCTGCGTGGGATGGTGTGTTTATTTCCGGGGGCTGCCATAACAAAGACCACAAACTAGGTGGCTTACAACAATAGAAATACATTCTCTCTCTCTCTCTCCCCTTCTCTCTCTTGTTTTTTTTTAGAGACAGAGTCTCACTTTGTAGCTCTTGGTAGAATGCCGTGGCGTCACAGCTCACAGCAACCTGCAACTCCTGGGCTTAGGCAATTCTCTTGCCTCAGCCTCCCGAGTAGCTGGGACTACAGGCGCCCACCACAATACCCGGCTATTTTTTCTTTTTCTTTTCTCTCTCTCTCTTTTTTTTTTTTTTGGCCGGAGCTGGGTTTGAACCTGCCACCTCCGGCATATGGGGCTGGTGCCCTACTCCTTTGAGCCACAGGTACCGCCTAATACCCGGCTATTTTTTTGTTGCAGTTTGGTCAGGGCCAGGTTCAAATCCACCACTGTCAGTATAAGGGGCTGGCTCCCTACCCACTGAGCCCCAGGCGCCACCCAGAAATGTATTCTCTTACTGTTCTGGAGGCTAGAAGTCTAAAATCTAGGTGTCTCCAGGACCACACTGCCTCTGAAACCTGTTGGGGAAGACCCTTCCTTTCCTCTTTGCAGTTTCCAGTGGTGGCCAGTGATCCTGACCTCCCTTGACCTGTAGGTGCGTCACTCCAGCCTCTGCTGCTGTGATGTGGCCTCTGTTTAGGACGCCAGGCTCATTTGGTTAAGGACCCAGCTTATTCCTGCAAGGTTGACTTCATCCTTAACTAATCACACCTGCAAAAAACCACATTTCCAAATATGATCGTAATTTTAGGTACTTGAACATATCTTTTGGGGGACACAATTCAGCCCCTACCTGATGGAGGAGAAATGAGCCTAGGTGCAGGGGTGTCCAGCCTGCGGCCCACTGTTTACCTATGGTGTCAGATATCATGAAAAAGTATATGTAGATCTTTTCTATTTTTGCTCATCAGCGGTTGTTAGTGTCTGTGTATTTAATGTGTGGCCCAAGACAACTCTTCTTCCAATGTGTAGCAGAAAAGAAGAAAGGTTGGACACCCTGGTAGAGGGAAGGAGGGGGCCAAAGTCAAGTCTCCAGGCCAGGTTTGCTAATGTCCTGCCATCCTCTCCCTGGTGCAGAACCCAGTAGGGGTGGGCCGCTACCTTAACACCTGGCTGATGGAGACAAAGGACAGGCGCCAGCGCTATCGGTCCCTGTACCTGGGTGAATCCAAACGCTACCTCTCGGACCCGACGCGGGACGTGATCCTGCAGTGAGTGCAGCTGAGGGGCGAGGGCAGGGAAGGCCTGACTCTGGGTAGGCTGAGAGTTCTCGTGCCTGGTTCCCATAGGAACACAGCTGCTGCCCCTAGTGCCAGCCAAACAATGAGGCAGCAGAGAGACATTCAAGTTTAGATCCTGGCTCATTTGAGGGCTCCACTTCCTGGCTGTGTGAGGTGGGGCATGTTGCTTAACCTCTCTGAGCCTCATTTTCTTCAGCTGTCAAAAGAGCAGCTATCTGAGAAGACCCAAATGAAATGATCCATTGAAAACTCTTGGTAAGGAAAAGGTCAATCAACACTCAGACCTCCACCCATAACACACATGGTCTGGGCTCTGGCCTGAGTAGCTTTACCACATGAAAGCTCATTTCTTAATGTTCATAATGAGGTTGGTAAACTCATTTCAGAAAGTTGTCTTGGGCTCGGCGCCTATAGCTCAACCGGCTAAGGCGCCAGCCACGTACACCTAAGGTGGCGGGTTCGAATCCCCAGCCCGGACCCACCAAACAACAATGACGGCTACAACCAAAAAATAGCCGGGCGTTGTGGCGGGCGCCTGTGGTCCCAGCTACTTGGGAGGCGGAGGCAGGAGACTCGCTTGAGCCCAGGAGTTGGAGGTTGCTGTGAGCTGTAATGCCACGGCACTCTGCCCAGGGGGACAGCTTGAGGCTCTGTCTCAAAAAAAAAAAAAAAAAAAGAAAGTTGTCTTGAAGCCCAAGAAAGAGAAGATGCGTGGAATACTGTGGCAAACTATAAAACAGCTCGCAAATGCAAGCTACTGCCATATTTTATTGATCTAGGAGGCCATCAGTTGCGATATCGTTTCAATTTCAGAGATGTTAAAATGTGAATAAACACGCCCTTTAGAATTCAGCATTTTGGTTTTGGAAATTATGGTGAGAACATGAGGACCAGCTTCTGGGGACCAGATTGCTGTAGGAAAACCAGCTTTGAAACGTAATTAAAAACATCTCATTCTGTTGCCCAGGCTGGAGTGTAGTGGCACTTCTGGTCTCAGATGATACTTTAGCTTCCCAAGTAGCTGGGACTATAGGTGCCCACCACCACACCTGGCTAAGTTTTACTTTGTTTTTGAGACAGAATCTCACTTTGTTGTCCTTGTAGAGTGCCATGGTGTCACAGCTTCCAGCAACCTCAAACTCCTGGGCTCAAGCGGTTCTCTTGTCTCTGCCTCCCAAGTGACTGGAACTATAGGCGCCTGCCACAACGCCTGGCTAGTTTTAGAGATGAGGTCTTGCTCTTGGTCAGGCTTGTTTCAAACTCTTTAGCTCAGGCAATCCACCTGCCTCTGTCTTTCGAGGATTACGGGTGTGAGCCAATGCATCTGGTCTAAGTTTTACTTTTTTTTTGTCCCCTGGGTAGAGTGCTGTGGTGTCATAGCTCATAGCAACCTCAAATTCTTGGGCTTAAGCAATTCTCCTGCCTCAGCCTCCCAAATAGCTGGGCTACAGGCACCCACCACAACACCTGCTATTTTTTGTTACAGTTGTAATTGTTTAGCAGGCCTGGGCTGGGCTCGAACTCACCACCTTCGGTGTGTGTGTGGGTGGCGCTGTAACCGCTGTGCTAGGGGTTATGTGCCATAAGTTTTACATTTTTTGTGGAGATAAGGTGTTGCTGTGTTGCTGAGGCTAGTCTTGAACTCCTGTCCCCAGGCAATTCTCCTGTCTTTGCTTCCTAAGGTGCTGGGATTACGGGTGTGAGCCACCAGGCCTGGCCCCAAATGTAGTCCTTTGTGTTTCTTCTTCTTGGTTTATTCTCTGGTTTGGGGGGTATTCCTGAGAAAGGGCATGAGAGGCAATATTTTTGATAGACTGCATGCCTGGAAATCTCTCCCCTTCCCCGTCCCCGTCCCCTCCCTTCCCCGTCCCCTTTTCTTTCCCTTTCCTTTTTTTTTTTTTTTTTTTT